TCAAAATCTATCATCAACCTTGAATAGAAGTATAGCAATTATAGTATGCAGTTGGCAATGTTTTTGAAGGAAATTCATGCCTTTGTTGCCGCGTTCCAAGTAGGAAGAAAATAGACGAAGGTTGGAGGCAGTGGCAAGGCTTCCCGTAAAATTAGCTCTCTATCCCTCACGATATTTTTTTATCGATTTTTGAGCAATGACGACTTTACCAATTGCCTTGGTTAGCCAATGCCCTAGACTTTGAGGCCAACTTTAATTCAATGCATCATCCAACGATGCGAAAATTTTCGAAATGCTGTGGGAAATCTGAGTGACGATATTGCAAAGGCGAAGTTATCATTCTAGATGTAAGGCACAGACAAAGATATTCGACTATATATAATTTACTGGCCTGGAGTATGCAGATTGCCTTGTCCCGAAAGTAGTACAGAAAGTGTGCTATGTCACCTGACGGCTTTTTTTAGTCTGTTGTAACTTCAGTTTGAGGCTTAGACTTCCACTGACAGTGCTCCAATCAATGATTCTATTTGCGAGGTTAGGTTCTACCAGAACACCAACACCAGCCTGAACATTGGTGGTATCGACACTTGAGTAGAATAGCACGTTCTGATCGCCGACCTTATCAGCAATGCTCAGCCATCTAGCAGTCCGTGTGGCCTTTGGCAACATGTGGGACGACCGGGCCCGGTTCGATGACAGGAGTACAATGAGAGGTTTACGGAGACTTCGTCACCGTCTCCAGCTCTCCTCGTTTCCTCTCGTGGCCAAGGACCGGCAACTGCGGATTCCCATTGGGAATCATGTGTTATATTTGTTTTCAGATAAGGAGCATCGAAATTCTATCACTATCTCATCTTACCTCTGAAAGGAGGCGGAATTTCATGGGGCTGGGCATTACAAATTCCTACGATTAGAATGGTCGGTCATGAGTGGTGTTTGGCAAGAAGTCGTCACTGAGATAAAAGAAAGAATTGAAATGAAAAATTGCTTCTGAATATGATGTAATCTAGATATTGTGAAAGGAAGATTATCGGATAGCATTTTGATTATGTCATCAAAAGCCACTATTTTTGTATTTTGCTCGTATAACTGACCCCTGACGAACGCCATGAGAAAAATATTTGAGAAAGACTCGGAGAATTCTCGTTTAGGAACAACATCTAGTTAGTAAATCAAACAAAATGAGTGCCAGTATGTCAACGCCGTTTCTTGAAAGAAGCTACCTAATTTCTGCTTTGAATAATCTTGCAGGCGGAATTTATTCAGCTGTGTGTTATTCCAAAAACTGCCTAATCATCAATTGCAAAGGTCGACGTCATAGTGTAAAAACTTTTCCATTCCTTGAATATTAGCGTAGAAATGATCGCTCGCGATCCTTCCGTCCAGTTTTTGAAGTGTGGTATTTTTCTCCTAAAGAGATGTTTTCAGAAATCGAGTAAGGAACTCGCGGATAAAAATATGCCTTAAAAACTTTACTTAACCATAAATGTGATTTCTTCCTGTCTTAATTTCCAGTTCTTTGAAATGAGAACCGGATTTATGGAAAGCACTTGACAAAATCACCAGTATTCAGGAGTAATTTAACTTATCCGTTGGCATTCAAACAGCGGTCTATATAAACTTCTTTCTGACAAAATTAACCAAGAGAAGAGTTTTTTTTAGTTAAACGCTAGTTAGATTTGGCAAAGGGCTCCTCAGCCATACGAGCCATCACTACATCCAATAACGCGCAATGCTCATGCCTGGAAAGTCAAAAAAAGTTGAGTAAGCATTATTGAAATCCACCAGATATGAACGACAGAGATGCATGCTAACCGGCCATAGAGCACTTGCATCATCAAAACTAATCTGCATAGTTCACAAACACTACGAAAAACTGAAGCAGTAACAATTATTGCATAGAAATAAAGATATGCAGCACATCGGTCCTAAAATCATGTAAGTTTATGTGTGTAAACTTCTGATGAAGCACGTGAGAATTAATATATGCCTTTAGACTTCCTAAAAATATTTCCATGTGTCGAAAAGTATGACGTCGAAATATCGAAACAGTGCAAACTGACCGAGAGCGTGGCCGAACACAGCATATTACCGGCCTCAAGGTCACTTCCGTCACCCGTTACGGAGGACACGTTAGCTATGTCTTGTAGGTAAGTTGGCTTCGATCGGCGAGAAGGTCATTTTAATTAATTGGAAAGACGGTTTGTCAATGATAGAAATCAAAACTTGTGTGAATGTTCTTGCTTTGATCGCTGATGACGAAGCAAAATACGCAAATTGAAGTTATTCTCTCTACGTTTTGAGCTTCAGGGGTAGTCACAGAGTAGCAGAAGTAGCATTGCTTCTACAATATTATTATAAAGGGTAGCATTGGTGTTAACTAGAAAGTATATCACCTGAACATCTTTGACCGTAAGCTTAATATTATACATGCACCGAAAGCGTAAATCAGTTCAGACAGGCTTGCAGTAGCGCAGTGATAACGCCAGAGAGGCTTCACTTGACAAACATCCTTCCGTTTATTCTCGAAGCTTCCCTATAGATCTGGTGAAAGTGCGAATTACATTAATTTTAAGTGGCAAGAGGCGCATACGTTTAATACGCTGACGAAAGACGGATGGTTCGAATTACGGTTGACGGTACATTTGCACACTTTGCGATG